CTCTCCTGGCTCCCTGCCCACAGAAATCTGCTGAAGGCAGCTGAGCCCCAAGGTTGTATAAAACACTCATCCCTTACAAGCCCATCATCTGTTTAAAAACCATACCAAAATGATTTATGCATTTTTCCAATAGCAGATGAGGACTGGGAAACTGAGAAAATAATCTCTGACTTCAGTTTTCCTCTGTGTACTTGGTAGCTCTGTGTGGACCAATTTCACTGTTAGCTTTGTGCAGGAAGAGAGTTTGCGGCTGCTTTTTAGCATCACGCTACATCCTTAAAAGGACTTGTCAGATGTTGGCATCCTGTAGTTTTAATTTCCTCCTTTATTGAAATGAATTTGGTTTTGTTTCTGCCGTGTCTTTTGAGCATTGCTGGTTGCTGATGGGTGACTTGCATGCTGTTACTTATCTGAATAATCCCGGGTGGATGGCATCTGTAAGAGAGAGATGCTTTTGCATCACTAGTGCTAAGTGGATTATTGGAGCCTAAAGTCTGTAGAGACAGAGCAAGAAAAATGCCCAGGGTTTGGGTGTCTGGCTGCGGCCACTGCTCAGTGCCCTGCAGCTCCCTCAGTGTATTGAGCTCTGCGCTGCAGGACGGAGGTGCTGGTTGGGAGTCACAGCATAGAGGAAAAAAAATGATTATAATAGGCATTAATGGGGAGGAGGAGCTGGAATTTATGCAAAAAAAAAAGGGGGGGGGGCAGGCAGATGTTGCTAACTCCCACTTTGCTGCTGAAGTAAAGCCTGCATACAGACCAGGCCTCGGTATCCTCATAGCCTCTTCCAAGCTTTGCAGAAAGCCTCCCATCAAAAGCACGTTTCTGAGGGGAGGGCAAGAAGGGTGTTTGCTGTGAAGCAATGAGCATTAAGATCAGAAATAGCTTTTCCTTGAGAGAAGCAGCACCTGGGCTGAGTGTAACCACATGAAGTCCTCTTGCCCGTGTGAGTGTGGAGTGAAACAGATGGGACTCGGCTGGCCTCCCTCCAAACTCCCCGTATCCATGAGCATGTTAGCATGAATGTGTGTGCCCAGCCATAAACCAGGTGGGAAGTGTCTCAACAGGCTCTGAAACTTCCTGAGAAGGCTCCGTGATCCATCAGGATGGGCTGTCCCCGTTGCTAGCTCAGCGGGCAAACTGGGCCATATTTATTTTTAGATATTCCAAATGTTTGAGGCTGTCTGAGTGTGGGTTTGTTATCCGTGGGTTTTTTCCATCTTTCAAAAAGCTCCAGGGAGCTGCAGACTTTATCAACAGCCCCGGATGGGCTCTTGGTCCTGGGTGGCAGGAGATGGAGGACAAGGCTGAGAACGTTCACCTTGTTATTGCTCAGAACAAATAGGCCGCGTTGGGAGCCTGGATGCTCTGCTGGCCAAGCGCTCAGAGCTTCAGTGCAGCTTTCTTGGCAAGGTTTCTGCTGTGTAATAAGCATTCCTGAAGGAACCTACCAGCAAGAATGCAGTGTTGCAAGCAGCTGAACCCATCCGGAGGACAGGACCCGGCAGGCTGGGGCTCCCATCTCCTGAGACCTTTGCTAACACGTGCAGGTGACACGGGCATCACCAGAAGTCATGCTGGGCCTCGGTCAAAGCTCTGTCAGGGTGGAAATAACGTACACTTGATGTATGGAAGGGTGTATCTTAGTGCACATGAAATTTCCCTTAATTTTATTCAGTGAAATCCGGTCTAAACGTACAAGAATTCTCCCACTGCTTTGGAAACCTCAATGGTAGCTTTTAAAAGTAGCTTGAGAACCAGGAAGCAGCAAGAGTTTAAGAATCATTTTCCAAGCTAAACTGTTTGAGTGCAAAGGATCAAAATAAACCTGGATTAAATAATAATAATAATGGCCTATATACATTTATGTGTGTGTGTGTATAACACTGAGCACGCTGGTAAACCTGCTAGCTCAACCTGAACAGCTTGCGTTGTGTATTTTTCAGAAGAATCAGGTCTTCCTATCAGAAAGGCTTTTCTTCCCCCCTCCATGGTGTCAGTGTCGGTTGCCTTTTATTTATTTTTCTCCTCTT